TATAACTTGTGTATTTTATGCCTTGGTTTAGTGAGTTTTAGTTGTAAACTCATGGATAAGGCCAAAATACTTATGTAAGTAGGAACTTGTATATTTTGAAAGATTTAGAATGAGAATGATGATTTTATGCAAGAATTTCCCCCTTGTGTTTTTGTGAAAATTGGGGTTGAGTGATGATTTTAAAATATATGTATTTTTAATTGTATGTGACACATTACATGGGTCTGCTAGAGTTCATTGAGTGTGGTCGAATGGTCGGTTGAAACTTATGTTCGAGTTGGGACACCAAAATTATGAGATTTTTGTGAAAAAAATGGTAAAATGAGTTTTGGTGTGCAACTTTTTATAGAAAAAGAAGTTAAGTGTGAAACTAATGTTATTAGCTAGAGTTAGAAGAAAGCTCCATGTAAACACTAAAATCACCTCAATCAAATGTCAAATAGAGATTTGGGACGCGTTGAAAGTTTGCTCCTTATATTGTCAAATAATATCAACTGATGCTATCGAATTCATGCAATTGAAACTATCGAATGATATCAACTAATGCTATCGAATTCAAATGATATCAACTGATACTATCGAATTCATGCAAATGATATCACCTCAATCCATGCTATCGAATGCATGGCACAGAGAAGGGTAAGCCATGGTGTATATGTCATAAGCCGCAGTGCATGTGTCGCTTTCTGTACTTTGAGTTTTGAAACTCATTGTTTTGGGTCTCGTTTGTTTTCCAATTGTGGCATCACTTTCAAACTCTAATTCAAACATGTTAAGTGTGTGATTTAAGATTGAAAATTGAGTTTTGGGATTCCATTATATATGATTTGAACATTCTTCTCTTTTATGTAATTTTACATCTTTGGCAATCCTTAAGGGTTAATTCATTAATTACCTTGATTATGGAGTTTAATGGGAGACCTTACACAACTACTCAATAACCAAGATTTCTCTACCCTATGCAGTTGCATATTAATTGACATTTTTTTTAAAACAAAGCACACATATAAGGCATAGAATCACATATATCACAAATTCATATATAACTCATATTATTTCATATAAATCATCATAATCTTATCTTTTCATAAGTCAAAATCACAAGGCACATTGCCACAATGCTAACAACTATATGACAATAGCCAAATTAATTATACAAGGTAGATTGCAACAATAATAACAATCATGTGACAATGGCCAAGTCCAATATCATGACTTGCCACAAACTTAATAACATATAACAAATTGGATAATGTGCATGATCGAACTAGCTTTATATCCTCTTTATAACTTCCAACTAAAATCATGGGCTATCAATCAAATGTGGTTTCATTCGAATGAATGGAATACCCATGCTCACCAATTATGAGAAGTAACTTGGCCAAGGTCACTACCCTCACTCTCGATTCATGGCTTTCCCCATTCTCAAATATCTGAGATGTTGTAAACCCTAAGCTAGTCTTCTTGACAAATAAGTAGAGATAGCTAAGTTTGAGTCCCTCAATAAACAATGGGATAGTGGTTACTTCCCAATTCCAATGATAGGTAGCCAGGCTAGTTTTTATCAAATATAATAAATTCATGCGTAATCAATTACAAAACATACACCACCACACATTAATAATTTATACCTTTGCTCCTTGCTATTAGAGCTCCCCAAACAAACGAGCTAGCACCACCAAAGATGTCAACACCACATCTATATATAATGTGACACTAATTATTTTTAATACAATGCTAATTATAGTTAATCAAAGTGTTTACAGGCTAATTACACTCTAATTCTAGTGTTATATTAATTAGAATATTACAATAGAACCTTAAATATACCTTGTTTAATTATGGAATTGAGAAGGCATAAGATCTTGAGACTTAAAAGTAAACAAAAACACGATGTTTAAAGAGGAGAAAAAGACGAATCAAATTACACACCAATTTAGTGGAAGTTTTATTTAATTTTTTTTAATTTCAGATAAAGTGAAATGTATAGTTGTGTCAAAAAACAGAAGGACGACAATTGAGTTTCAAAAATGAATTTACTAAAAGTATTCCCTTTTGTTCCTATTATCAGGCGTTTTCTAGAAAAAAAAATTCCTTTATTTTTATATTTAATTCATTAATTATGAGAAAGAATATAATATAAATTTAAATTTAAATAGAGTTAAAATTAAAATTTTATTATATTTTGAGACATAGTTAATGAGTTAACCAGCTTTCCTTAATTTCAATGAGGTAGTTAGTTGTACCTTATAATAGAAATTGAAGGGAATAGATCCCAAGAAAATTTATTAAAAGATTAATGATTATTTTTACCTCTTAACCTCACTTAAAGAGTTATTGGACAACTTAAACTTAATTATAGGTCAATTATGTTTTCTCAATGTTAAAAATTCTCTCCCTTATCACCCTATCATTAATTAATCTTCTGTTTATCGATAGTGGGTCTTACATTCAATTTTGTAATAATTTTATTATAAAATATTAGGTTACTGGTCTTTTTTTCCCTTAATTTTAACCTTAAAGAGTCAACGGGCACCCTAAACTTAAATATTTCATAATAAAAAGTATTTATAAAAATGAATGTGGGGCCCATTAATAGTGAATAAATGATGAGTTAATGGCAGGGTGATGAAGGAGAGAATATTTAACATTAATGGACATCAATGACCCCTACCTGAGTTTACAATGCTTAGTAACTCTTCGGGTAAATTTTAAGAGTAAAAATCACCATTAACCATTTATAAAAGTATGGGTTATAAATATCAATTGAAATAGTAAAACAAATCAAAATCTTAGTCACAAATTAGTCATTTAAATCTTATAAGTCAATCCCAATGATTTTGCAACCTATATTTACAATTATTTGAGGTGATACTTGCAACTTTTTTTAATAGAATTTTTACAAATATATTATAATTAATTTAAACTTTTCGAGATCTAATTGTCAATTTTTAAAAAATAAAAATATGCATAATAAGGTTCTATGATATGATCATATGATATAATATTAATAAAAATTATATTATTTGGAAGTGATGAATAATATAAGATGAATCGACAATGTAGCTTATAATAAAAGGAGAAAGTGTCGGTGTGATTTTGAAGCTTAATCCAAACAAAAATGAGAGCTAAAGAAGTTGATAGACTTTCCTCCAAAGACTAACAACTTTACTGTACCAAGTCTTCCATCATGGTTTCCCCATTCCACGAACAATCATTACACCTTTCAAACCCAATGAATGTGCATGCAATATTTAATAAAGTTTATATATTATATGCTTGAACCACAAAAGTTAAAAAAAAAAAAGTCGTAAAATAAGATTATAAGATGTAAACTGTAAAGTAAAATAGACAAGATTAAGGATAAAATTTAAATAAAAGTAAAGGAGATAAACCTTACTCCCTCATATTCTTATTATAAGATATTTTTAATCATTTCATACATATTAAAAAAATTAGTTTTTACTTGATATCATAAAAAAATTATTTATACTTTTATTTTTATCTTTAATTTTAAATAATGATATAACTACATTAAAAGACATCCCACTAATCAAGAAAAGAAAATATTAAAAAAATAGTTTAATTGTTATAAAATATTATAAATTTTAAATTAAAAATTATTTTTAAAAAATATTTTATAAATAAAATTAGAGGGAGCATCTCGTTTTCATCTCTCTATCTTTTTTTTTTATTTAGTAAAGAAAAAAATTACATAACAACTAGCACATACATTCACACCCAACTCATACATTCCGCAGACTGAACTGACAAGTTGTTCCTCGTCGGGCTTGATGTCATACCACTGTCACTGTGACAACATATTATTGGCCTTTCCTTTTCTCTAAAATGTATAATGCATTCTGCGAAGAATCTTAATCAACTCACGAAAGTGCACAGATCATGACAAATAGTAAAGGGATAGGAATTAAGAAATCTCGTTCTCATAAAGATTTTTATTTAAAATTTCAACTTAATAGAGTCCAACAAATGTTAGATGAACAAGTGTAATTTCACAAACTATTTTGAAAATTAAAAAGGAAATGGAAGCAAGTAATTCTTTAAATTCAAGAATATAATAGAACTTAAGATTTTTTATTTTCCTTATTTCATCACACTCAATTTACTTCCTCTAGTAAATGTTCTTAATAAATAGAAGTGCAGCTTAAGGTTAAAAAATATTTAAAAAAGCTTTCTCCAGTCAAAAACAAATGTTTAATTATTCAATGTATAATTATAATTAATATAATCTAATTTCGAAGCTACAACTCTAATATGACTTTATAAGGTTAGCAAGAGTATCTTTTTCTTATCATGTTCTTAATGATTTTACCTTAGTTATATATTTCAAAGGAAACACACAATTATTGATTCATATAATTTCATCAAATTTTTCTTTTAATACCATTAATATTTTTCAGTATTGCCAATCCTTATAATTTTAATAAGATTAGGCGTTGTTTAATATTCAATTCCCCATAAGACCTAAAAATAAAATCTGATAAAACTATAAAAATCCATGATTGTGTTTTCCCTATTTGAAACTTAATAATTGGCTCTTGAAAATAAATGGGGAAAAATGAACAGAAGGATGAGGAGGCATTCGTCACAGTAGACGGAAGAAGAGAGGGCACGATACTTAAGCCAACATACATGCTTTAGGGGCGCCTCTTCATCCAATAAAAATGTCACAATTCATACTAATTTCATCCCAAGTTAATGATATCCTACTTTGAAAAATGGATCTGATTAAAAATAATCCGACACTTACAGTTCAATTTTAATATACTCCAATATCAATGAATCACTGTACATAAAACAAATGAATGCTAACGTCACGCCACTATGTCATTGATAGCACAATAGCACCAAACCAGCCCATATAACAATACATATGGGTTTGGAAGCAGGCCCCACTCTCTTGTAACTCAATCGACCAATCTCAATACATACAATTTTGACGTCAATTCGTCAATGAAACTTGCAGTTAAGACACCATGTAAGGAGAAGAATAAAATTAACTTTCAATGACGCAGAGGTTTTACACAAAATTGAGCCGTAACGTTCATTTGCTCACATGACATGACATGAGCCAACAGAAACTTGTGTGAAATAGTTTTACAACAAAATCCCACAGATCACATGGACCTTCGAACACTGGCTTGGAGCTGTCATCCACTTTCGAGCTGGATTATCATTAGAGTTCGCAACCAATCTTCCCATAAGAATATGAAAGAAAGCGGCAAAAATGGATCGTGCAATACTTGAATAGAACCGCTTCGTAGCGATGCAAAAACACCCTTAGCTATAGCTCAATCAAAGCCCCAGCAAGCCACTCTGCCCCAGGCTCTATACCACCCAACTGATTGCGCCATCATATCCTAAGCAGTATCAATCAAATCAGATTATCAAAGCATAAGAAATATTTAAAAGCAATTCAAATCAGAAAAGTAATAATGAGGGCGAACGTAGAAATTATCGACCTACATCGACGGTTTCATCCTAATCCCTACCACGCAGCATATACGCATGCATCAAGAACTGCATAAATCCTCATCAACCAAAACGTCAAGAGAGAGAGAAAAGTATTGCACAGCTGCTCGCAATGGCTTGTAGAATTTAGCAGAAACCAGACCAATGCACTGTACAGGCAGTTGGTTTGACAAACATAGCATGGAGATCTGAAAATGACAAACAAACTGGCCTGTGCTCACAAGTCTAAGAAAAATTTTTTAACAAAAAAGTACCCAGGTCACAGTAATAAACAAGTCTCATCCTACTAGGTCAGATTGGCTACATGGATCACGTTATGCTATTTGTAGGAGGCAATTTATATCTAATTCATCCAATGGAAGATAGGTTAGTCAAGAAGAAACATATGTTACAGGCAACGTATCATGCTCGCAGGAAAAGCTCCATGTGAACAAGTTGACAAGCATATAACCATGTCCAGACCTGATAAATTTATACTGCAATTACAGGTTTGTGAGCACATGAGAAGAGAGTATGGTCGTATTTAGATGGAACGAATTCTACCCTGAATTAGGCTATTAATCACAAGTCAACATTAAAAAATCTTTCGTGGACATACTATTGAGTAGCAACTACCAAAATGTTCTTAAAAGCATAAAACTTGCGACCTCAAGAAGCCCATCATTTCATTATCTTCTTTTTAAAGTGGAAAGGATATAATTTCATTATCTTGCATGACAAGAGTTTATCAACATCAACTAACAATAACTTACTAATAGAATACTTCGCCCAGAATAGCACCCTATAGGACTCACTTTCTCAAATCATGAGCTATGACAAAATTAAGAACTATGTTAGGTACATGGGGATGCTAAATTTCCAAGTACCTTAGAATAAAAGATACATGGGAACTCAAAATCCCCAACTCGATCCAGTCAACAAAAATCTGTCATTTGGTACCCTCAGAATACTCGAGCTTAATACAATCAGACATAGACTAATTTTGTATCATAAATAAGATGGGATTACAAAGCTTTTCCAGCAAGCAAAGAGATTAAAAAGACTGATTAAGCACAGAAAAAATTTTAACTCAAAGGAATCAAATAACAATAGACAAAAAATCAGGCATGTTCAGATATTGTAGCAGACAGAATATGGACAGCTCAAAACGTAAGCAATCACAATAATTGTATATGATAGGAGAAAACGACATGCATGAGTGAGAATAAAGGGACTATATGTAATAGGGTCCAGAAAAATGTAGAAACAAGTAGAAGATTCATTTTAATCCCAGCCACAATGAATTTTCCTTAAATGATGCCCACCCTATAACCATGGAAAAAATGGTATTATGGGTATCAAGTGAATATCAGAGAACTCAAACATAAGAACTGGCAGCATCATGCTCTCATAACTCACCAGATGCGAATTAGAATTTATACGAATATTGTTTAGTTACTAAGTTTATCCGAAAAGTGCTACCTCAGTTACGATGGACTCCTAGGATTCATAGGTAGCCTATTCCCATTGTGTAAGATATTAAGTAGCTGTTTTTCACGCTTTGGGAAACAACCCCACTCCCCAAAAAAAAAAAAACAGAGAGAGAGAGAGAGAGAGGATAAACATGCTATTATTCTACTACGGATCAAAGTGGGGGAAACAAACTGACCCAAATATTTACTTACTCAAACTATAGGAAGACTATATGAGTTGCAAAGCTGAAGCAATGCTGCTTGATTTGCTGGATCAACATTTTCACTGATGACTTTGGGATACCTCCCAGGGGAAACAGCAGAGAGTCGGGATAGTGAAGCAATAAAAAACTCCCTCGGATCTCTTATATCTTTTAGTGGGTCCTCTTCCTTTTTTCCAGCATTGTAAAGACGAACAAAAGTCGCTGTATAACCCACATTTTCTGTGATATCTGGCATGTCAGGTTCCTCCTCAACCCTGTCCTGTTCTGGCCGTGAAAGAAGAGTGACAATACTATCCACCATCTTCCCCCAGGATTCAGCAGCTGCAGCATCTACGAAGATTGGAGACTCACAGATAAGTCTGGTTGAGGCAACTGCAGTCAACTTGAGCTCAATAGTTCCAGTAATCAGCTTAAGATTGGGTATCCAGAACTGGTTTAAAATCACAGTGAATATACCAGGCTGGACACGATTCATAGTATCCACAAGATATGAAGGCCCATGCTTGATCAAAAAGAGTGACATAAATATCAAAAGAGATTTGATGAGCTTTACAGTCCGCCTATGTTGGAGCTCTCTGAAAAGGGCAGCCCAAATGTGAGAAATATAACACTCAATGACAGCATAGTCAAGACTCTCAATGACAGTATTAAGCACGTAAAATCCTTGCTCAACTGTGGCTTTAGATTGGATAAGCGTATCGAATATGCCAAGCACCTTGGTCAGCCTATCCTCTTGGTTTACCTCATTTGGTGCTTTTTGAAGGAAGGCCTGGAGTAGACGCACAAGTGCTGGAACATTTGGGGCCCTTTTCCAAGTTTCAGGGGACAAAAGGATCACAAATATCTGCATGTAGATTGGTGGAATCGGTGGTGTATTTGACTCAACAAGCTGAGCAAGCAACTGAAATGTGTATGGGAAAAACTCAGTTACATCATTGCTCAATATTATTTCAAGTCTAGGAAAAAGGCTTGCTTCAAATACTGATACAAGAGACAAGTCTTTCTCGCATCCTCGCCTCACAAGAATGGCCACTGACTCAAAAAGATAATGATTGAAGATGGGGTTCTTTGGATTTTTACAAACTTCACCAAGAATGGAGGCCAACCCCTCAATACAAACGTGAGCAGCATCAACAGATATATCAGCAAGACCAAGGATCCTCATTATACATTTCATTACATACTGATTTTCTTCAGACTCTGGGAACTTCAAGGCACTGAAAAGATTGTTCATCAGCATTGGGAAAACAGGATTAATGTCTGCTGCAGTGTACCGTGCCCTGACGCCCTCATCTTTGACCAACAAGAGTTTTTCAATACAACTTGCAGCATATGAATGAACAACATTTGATTCAGCAGCCAGGAAACGAACCAAATCTGGAAAAAACTTTAATGCTAAATCCTTTGATATTTGACTTCGGAACATAGTAAAGAACTTGAGGGCACCTGCCTTAAGCATAGGATACCCATTAACGTCTGAGCTCTGCAGTTCTGGAACAATGACAGATTCAAAAAAGCTCTTAACATCAACAAGTTCTGTTGAGACATAAGAAGATCCAGCCTTCTTGGTTGAAAGAGAGACTACCAAGTATATAGCACAGTCCTTATCCCTCCAGTTTGCCACTGGATTGGCAGCAAAGGAACTTAGTAAAGTTTGAATTTGAGCAGACACAATGCTTCTGACACAATCTCCATAATGTGATGCAATTCCCTTAAGTAGCTCACAGGAAATCCTCCTCCTAGTATCAAGATCGCTACCTTCAATATCTCTCCTAATAAATTCAATATAGTTCATCTCAAAGAGTTCCTCATCATCATCCCTCAATCGCACATTTGGGATAACAATGCATTGACAAATCTGGGGTATAACACCCTCACTGGCAAACAATGTGTGATGAACACTTGTGCTAACAGTGGTCAAAAACTTGATTGCTGTGACAGCCAGCTGATCACGGCTAGCAGACTGCGACACATTCCCCAGTAAAGTCCATACAGCAAGCGCAAAATCATTCAAGTAACATTGAAACTCCTCCTCATTCTTTTCTATGTAAAGATTAATATTTTCACAAACCGCAGCTCGAAGCTCATCGACAATTGCAACACCGTCAGGACCACTATTTTCCAGGGCAGGATAACTAGCAGTAAGGTATTTTCGAAATTCAGTCATCCATTCTTTCATGTGATCCTCAAAAAACTCGGGGAGCTCTTGAAAATTCAGTGCATAAAATATCCTACAACATAACCTCTGGGACTCAAAAAGGGAGCGAAGGTTTGCAGCAGGCCCCCCTGAATTTGCGGCTACATCGATTAAGGAAGCGGTCTTGAGAAATATTTCCAGTAAAGGTGCCGAAAAATTATCCAGACAATATTTCAAATCAAGCAAAAGATCGTTGGTTTTATACTGATAACGAAACTTCTTGAAAATGGAATTCGCAGTACCAAGAATACCATTAATAGAAGCATAATCGGAGGTTTGCGAGGCTTTCTGAAGATTCGAAATGAGTTCAGGAAGCAACGCAGGCCACGATTTCGGAAAGTCATGCTTACCGATAACAGCCAGAGCTTCACTTAGTTGGCTTTGAATCTTAGGAGTAGCCGAGAGCATTAGCGGAACGATCAAAGATTTGATCTGCTCCTTCTCGGGGTCAAGTATAGGGGAGAAAATAGGCACACTGCCGTCATCCGAAGTAGCAGGAACCCACCGGACACGGAGATGGTTCTTGAAGTTGACAGCAGCAGCTTGACGAATCTGATCATCGATAGAGGACTCGGCAACGAGCCGGAGTACGGCAAGACCGTAGTTGGGGCGATCGGCTGCCTCAGCAAGGGAGGATTCAGCACGACGGCGAGGCTCCGCCGCCGGAGATAGAGTATGAAGGAAGCATTCGGAGAGAAATTGAAGAGTCTGCGGGTTCCATTCCATGATTGTGACACAAAAATCGCAGTTAGGGTTTACGACCAAAGTTGGCCACTCTAGATCGTTCAGTGATCACAACAATCACTGGACTGAATGGAAAAAAAAAAAAAAAAACTTGAAGCAAAGACGAAGAGGATGAAGAGGAGAGAAAGGAGGTGATTTGTGCGCGCTTGCAAAGGGGAAGTGAGATGGGAAGAGAGGGAAGGGATTTTGAAAGAGGGTTTTTGTACTGTGATTCTGCGGAGACGAGGACAGCCTAAAATAAAAGTCACGTGTCGTCTTGCCATAGTTCGGGGCACTGATTCATCTTTCAGCCCAATATTGTATGGCTGGACAAATTTTAATTGGGCTTTTCTTCATGATTTGGGCTGACTTTGTTTCCGTGTTTTCTTTTCCCAATTTGCTCGGTATCACACAGATTAATACAGATACAAGAACTTGAAATTTACATGGTCATGGACTAAATACTAAATAGTATATTTCAATCTCCTGGAAAAAAAAATTATATCTCAATCATTCAAAAATCAAAGAATTACTTATGCCCAAAAAATATGAAAGGATTATGATATATTTGTCATATTTTAATAATGAAAAATAATTTCTCATATTGCAAAACACTTACTTATGCAGTTTTGCCTATGATATTTATTTCAGAAAGCTGGCGGAAGAAAAAAAAGATATTTATTTCAGAAAAAAGATTATGAGGTACGCATTATTTATAATTTTATAAAGAGAATAACAATAAAATCCCAAAAAGAGAGGTTTATGACAGTTGTTAATATTAATTCAAACTCATTAATTTCTAGGTCAGAGAGCATGAGAGAGAGCGAAAGCGGTGAGAGTCAGAAAGTACGTGATGTTAATTACGGTAACGATAGGGTTCGCAATAAGGGAGGCATAGGGTTGAATCGTAAGCAACCAGAACTGGTGTTCTCCATTGGAAAAGATGGGGTTGGGCACAACAAGGAAGAGAAGCAGGGTGAAGAGTCAAGGGGTAGATGACGCCCTCTACCAATGTCGTTCAAAGACAAGCTATTATTTTTTAGCAGATATGGGTTTCTCATGAAGCATGAAGTAAAGGATGACATAGTTCAATGTTGGACAGCTTATTTTCTTAAGAATGAGGAATCTACAAAGAAGTTAGAACATGAAGCACCGGATGAAGAAGAGATCTCTAGAGTTGAGGGGGTGGTTAAAATATTGAAACTTCAATTCACGATAGATGAATATTCTACTTGGTGCCGGCCATGGATGAACTCACCTATAGTGAAGCTGTCGAGGGCTCCTATTAGTAAATATAATCTTGATGTTAGAATGAGTAGGATGTGGAGGCCTTAGGAAGCCATGAAAGTTATGCCATTGAATAATGGATATCACATTGTCTCATTTATGAGTAAGGAAGGCAAAGACTATGCTTTTCAAGAAGGGCCTTAGATGATTGATGATCACCATCTTCTAGTTTAAAGATGGCGACTAATTTTAATCCATGGAAAGCGGATGTGCAAAGATGGATTATAGTATGGTTACGTATCCCAAATGAATTTTATAGCGTTGAGTCTCTCTGGGGAATTGGTAATATGATTGGAAAAACCCTAAAGATTGATCTCTCGACTTTTATTTATGACAAAGGGAGGTTTGCTTACATTTATGTTAAAGTTGATCTGCAACAACCCCTTCTACCGGCATTTGAAGCATTTGGTGAGGACAGAACCATTGTTTATGAAGGACTTCACCATGTTTGTTTCATGTGTGGGAAATACGACCATCATACAACTGAGTGTCCAGTTGTTACAACATTCGAAGAAACTACACCACAGTCTTTAAGTCTCATGCAGAAGGAGACACCGCAAGAGAATCAAGAGACAATGACACTGGTGACAAACCAAACTAAGAATAGCCGGTAGAGGTTGTGGCAGAGAGCGGCAAGAAGGTAGCAGAATTTAGGATGAAAAATTTAGTACAAAGGGATATACACAGACCTACTATTTAGGCGAATTAGAAGGGATATGAGAGACAGGGTATATCGTGAGGGTTTTAAGGAAGAGATAGCCTTGGGGATGCTTCACGGATCTCTCGGCAAAATGTGATAAAAAAGAATAATGAGGATAAGTCAAAGATACCTATGAAGGATAAGGGGAAGCAAATTTTTGGAACAAATTTTAACAGGAGAAGTTAGAAGGAGGAGTGGGTCCCAGTAGGCAGTAAAAGGAAGGGTGAATCCCGTGCACAACCACATGGAAAGGAGAATCGAGGTCTGGATAAGATGAAGATATAAATCAGGACAATAAAGGATTTAGACTCAATTTCACAGCCTATAACGAATACAAATTCTTTTTCGCCTCTTAATGTGGATTTATCTAATGGGGCCTTAAGTAAGTACGAGGAGGAAAATCAAGATGGACTGAGTTCATAACAACACATGGATATGCAGATTTCGAGTAAAGTGGCCTCGGAGAATAATTTGGATCAAGCTGCTAAACTCTCAGAACCTCTCAATAAGGAACTATATATGGTTGATGAACTAGCAACAAAATCAGAAGTCATTATGAAAGATGCAGACATGGAATCCCAAGGTATTTCTTAAACTAAGGGGCAAGCACTCCTTTTGAACAAAGTTTCCTTATGAATTGCCTTTTCTAGAATTGTCGAGGCACGGGGTCCAGATCCTTTCCTAAACTCATCAAGGAGTTATGTTTTAAGTATAAAAGTAATTTGCTTGCTTTTGAAACATGTTAAAGTGGAGCTAAAGCTCAAAAAATGCTTGTTCTTTAGGATATTAGTTTATGAATATTGTTGATGCTAATGGTTTTAATGGAGGTCTTTAGGTGTTATGGGAAGATAAGTCTTGGGATATTCAGTTACTAGCCTCTTCAGATCAATTTCAACATTTTTCTTTTGAGGTTGGCAGGGTTAAGCATTTTATTTCTTGTGTTTATGCTAGCACTAATGCAGTGAAAAGAAGAAAGCCTTGGTCTAATATGGAGGAAATTAACACTGGAATTTCAGGGGCATGGTGTATTGGAGGTGATTTTAACTGCACGTTATTTAGTCATGAAAGACAATCACAATCTAGGATCACTACTACCGCTAATGGCCCTTTTAGTGATTGGGTCTTGAGACTGGGCTTAGTGGACATGCGGTGCTCAGGACCATTTTATACGTGGAGTAGTTAGAAGTAAAATTGACAGAAATTTAACTAATTCTTGCTTTGTGGATTTTTTTTTTCTCTTGCCAAGGCATGTATTTTTTTAATATAAGTCTAATCATAAGCCCATTAATCTTGAAACGGTCCCGCGTGTTCCATATGGCCCTATTGATCATCTGCTTTGATTCTTGGCATCTTGGATCCTCAATGATGATTTTAAGTATTTGTAGCTAACGAATGGAGAGAAGAGATTGATTGGTGTGAACACTGTATTTTATTCAGGTATTTTTTTTAATTTAATAAAAATCATAATAAATAATTAAAAAATATAAAAATAAAATTTAATCCTTTTTTAGGATTATATTTTCAAAACAAAAAAATTTAATTTAATTAAAAAAATTTAATTTAATTGATAGGGCTTAATTTTATTTTAGATAATCTTTTTTAGTTAGAATTTTATTTATTTTAGTTCATTAAAAAAATATAAAAATATAAAAATAAAATTTAATATTTTTTAAGATTATATTTTAACAAAATCAAAAAATCTTGTTTAAATCTTTTAAAATCTCTCTCCAAATTATCCCAATCATTCAAAAATATTGAGAGTCAACTTTTGAGAGTTAAATTTCTCTCCTTAAATCTTATTTTTTATTTAAAAAATATACATGTGTGTGTGTGTTAATCTATTAAAAAAATTAGAAGCAAAAAAAATTATAAAATATAAGCTGGATGAAATGCTAATCCATCAGTGTTTTATCACAACTTCAGTGGCTTTTTGCATAAACACGAGTAGCAAAGAAGTCACAAAACCCAGAAAAGAAAAAACAAAGAGCAAAGAGCAACGCATGCGCAGAAAAATATAGCCACACAGCCACGCAAAACACTTTGAACTAGATGCAGTAGCATGCACACACGAAACACACAGAAAGAAAGCAGCTCTAAAAAGATTCATACACGCTAAAGAAAAGACAGAGATGCACGCTGTAGAAAAAAAAAAAAGCAAAAGCAAAGCAGAAATGCGACATGCAGCAAGTGAAAGGAAGGAAAGTAATGTGCACAGCAAGAGAAAGATCCCGAGCTTCAGTGATAAAGAGCAGAAATGCAGCATGCGCGAGCGAAAGAAAAAAGAAAGTGAGTCCGAGAGAGGATGGAGAATGAGAAGGAGATGAAGAGTGAGAAATGAGAATAAAATGGAGAAAAACTGAGCACGAAGGAAACACAGAAGAGAGGATGAAAAATTGAGAGGAAAAGAGTAGATGCAGAAGAAAAATCAGATGAAAAAGGAGAGAGAACATCAAGATAAAGAGAAGAGGAAGATGTTGTAGAAAACGAAAAGAAAATAGAGCATGGAGTGGGGACAGAAAAAACTCAACAGTGAAGTAGGAAAGAAGACAGGAGGATTAGAATTAAGAGGAGAAAGAGGAAGCAGCACAAAAAAAGGAGACCAAGAGAAGAGAAGAGAGACTGAGAATAAACCTAAAAGCAGAGCACCGAGAAGGAGGGAGGAAGGCTGAGATTAGAAGCAAAAAATAGGAACTAAGGAAGAGAGAAAGAGAGAGAGAAAGATGGATCACGTGGCGGATGCTCAGAGGACTGATTTGATGATGATCACTCGGTTCGTTCTGAACGAACAGTCGAAGCACAAGGAATCGCGTGACGATTTCACCATTCTACTCAATCACATTGTCCTTGGCTACAAATTTGTCTACTCTTCCGTTAGTAAGGCAGGGCAGGCAAAATGGCTTGGACTTGTTAGGGAGATCAATGTTCAAGCATGTTAGTAGCTGGTTACTGCATGTATTAAAGCTCTTGCATGCTTATGCTAAGCATAGGAAATGGTGTGAATGGCTTCACACTTGATCTGTGTCTTGGGGAATTTATATTGACATATCTAAACATCAAGATGCCAAACAAAGGAAAGTTTTACTCTGCGAATGAAGGAAATGCCAAAAACTAGGATGAGCCAACTGCTAAATATGTAGAAAGCTACAAATATCCGCAAGATGGTTCACCATCAAAGTCTCTTAGGTACATTGGAAGCATGGTTGTCGATATCCACCGAGCA